CTATTATAGCCATCTACTCAAGGCTCCAAACTAGTGGCCAATCAATCAGTGGACTTTAAGGTTTGAAACACAAAGGGGGCGATCTCAGAGGTACACAGAGGAGGTATGAGAGCACAGCAACAACCCAAACAACTCAAGAGGTGGTCCTCTCTGTCGGGGTGGGGCGAGAGGACTGTGTGAGCCAGAGAGAGGTGGGGTCTGGCAGTGGAGAGCACGTAGGGTGGGAGACAGAGGCATCCAGGAGGCCTCTAAAGTTTGCAACTGAGCCCTTGGAAGTTGAAGGCCCAGGAAATTCCTGGAACCGTCTGGAAGTTAGAGCTACTCCACTGAGATAGGGAAGGCTCTCAGTGGAGCAAGCGAGAGAGTGAACGTCCTGGACATGGGTTTGGATATTGTTAGATAGAAAAGGCCTCTTAGAAATCCAAGTGAGGCTTGGGGTGGCCTGATGGGTAAGGTGCTTGCCCACAAGCTTGAGGACCTGGGTTTGGACCCCCAGCACCTAAGCAAAAAGATAGAAATGACCGTAATCCCAGCGCTGGGGAAACAGAGAGGGAGGACCCCCAGGGCTAGCTAACTGGTCTACAGAAATAAGGGAGCTCCAGGTTTGACGCCTCAAACGATAAGGTGGAGAGTGATCAAGGAAGACAGCTGACAATGACCCGCAGCTTACACATGCATGCATGCATGTTCATATGCACACACACATGCATGCACACACATACAGATATCACACAAACACATGGTCACACTATACACTACACACACATACACATATCACACAAACACATGCAGACTACACACTACACACACACACCACACAGACACATGCACACACACCACACAAACACGTAAGACACTGCACACACAAGCCATTAAGATACCCATATTCACATACACATGCATGTACACACAATATACATACATATACATACCACACACACTACATACACACTACACAGACACACCACACACACACAAGTCACATAGACACACACATGCTCACAGCACACACATTACCATACACACATACACACACACACACACATAGAAAAAGGACATCCATGTGTAGGTGTGGGCATGCAGCTGTGTGTGGGGCTGTGCAAAGCAAGGTGGCTGGAGCAGGGACTCAGCAGCCAGGGCTGTAATGGCTATGGAAAATAATCACCTTAGGGAGGGGAGAGAAAGATACAGAATGCTTAGATTGAAATTCTCAAAAATAAAGGAAAAAGGAAAGAATCAGGCAAGCCTGTCTGTGGTGTATGTCTGGAATTCTAGATTTTGGGAATCTGAAACAGGAAGATCATAGTTTTAAAGCCAGCCTGGGCTACATAGCAAGTTCTAGGCAGTCTGGGCTATACAATGTATCTCAAAAAGAAAAGAAAAAAATCATTTCCCTTTCCCCTGCCATCACAGTGCTCCCCTCGCTAATGGTCACACCCATCTGTGTCTCCCCTGTCCCCTGACTATAGGCAGTCCACAGCGTTGTCTGCAGGGAGGGAGCCTTACGAGCCAGCAGAGAAACAGCCTGTTCTCGGGCAGCTCGATGGTGGCTGAGCTGCTGGCGTGCCTGCATCTTTGTGCCCACCTCCCGATGCCAAGCCTCTGACCACAGCGAGGGGGAAGTGATGTTCAGATCTAAAGGCTGCAATGTTCCCGGGCAGCAGAACCCCACAGTCTGTGTGACGGGATGGCCTGGCCTGGTCCCTCAAGGAAGAGAGAAGGTAAAGGAGGGAGGAAGACAGCAGCTTTGAGTTCATCCAGGTCAGCACGCATTGCTCTTGGTCCTCCCAGCCAGAGCAGCTCCAGCTCACGTGGGACCTGGAGAGGGAACTTGGGTCAGCAGGCTAGATGGCCTTTACTCGCTGGCCATTTCCTTAGCCCGAGTGTTCTGGTTTTTGTGGGTTTTGTTGTTTTGAAAAAGGGTCTCATGCTGTATCCCAAGCTGAGTTTGAACTCACAGCAATCCACCTGCCTCAGCCTCCTGTGCACTGGGGTTACAGGTGTGAGTCTCCACATCCAGCTCAATTCACTTTAGAAAGGAAAAAAACTTTATTTTAAACTGAAACTTCCTATCGCTATCCTTGGTATAAATCAAACGATGTTGATGAATGTAGAAAGAATATTAACAATGCGTAAAATGAGACAAAGGCTGTGTGCTACTGGAACTCTAGTTGGGTGCTGCAGCCCACCTGCACCCAGACAGGGCTACTGATAATAATGGTCCCTTGGCAGAACACATCAAAGGTCATCCCGCTTGCCAGAATCTGCCTCCCACGCCTTCAAAATAAGTACTCTTTGTTTTTGTTGTGAAGACAGAGCCTCATTAGCCCAGGCTAGCCTCCAACTTCCTGTGTTACCCAGGAATGACCTTGAATCTTTGATACAGTGACTCCACTGCCTGAGTGCTGGGATCACTCATACATCACAATGGAGTGTGCCATCATGCCCGGTTTCAGGCAGGCACTTTTGATAACAGGGTCCCTGCCCCCAAACATCCTCCTCGTGGGGAGATGTTCTGTGAGACTGGACAGTGGGGCTGTGCCAACTCTGCCTTCTCAAGCATCTGAGCCTCCCCTTCCCCAGTTGTCTCCCATGTCACCCTTGTGTGTGGACAGTCATTCTCTCTCACCAATGCCTTCCAGAGTCTCCTGATCCTCCTATGTCCGTTCTTGATTTCCTCTGCCAGAGCGAGTCTGCACCCAACATCTTCCCCTCAATGCCCCCTGCAGGCTCCCTCTGCCTCAGGGGGAAGCCACAGCCTTACTTGGGTCCTTCTAGGACTTGAGTGCTCCAAGTCTATTCCTCCAACATTACCCCATGCATCTTCTGAAATTCTTTCTTCTCACCTGTCCAGCCTTGGCCTGCCTGACTCCGTGTGTGTGTGTGTGTGTGTGTGTGTGTGTGTGTGTGTGTGTGTGTGTGTGACGTGTTTGCAGGCAGGGAACTGGGTGTCCTGTTCCATCACTCTCAACTTTATCCCCCGAAACAGTCTCCGCTGAACCCGGCACTAGGGTGACAGACAGAAAACCAGACTAGGAGAATTCTGGAAAGAGGAAAGTCAGAGATGCAGTCACCAGCCAGATGCAGTGGAAGCCTGATACGAATGCCTCACTGATAAAAGGTACCAGGCCATAAGGGTAAACATAGACAAGAATTATGGATTAATTTAAGTTGTAAGAGCTAGTTAGTAATAAGCCTGAACAATAGATCAAACAGTTTATAATTAATATAAACCTCTGTGTGTTTCTGGGGGACTGAATGGTTGTGGGACTGGGCAGGACAGGAACTTCTGTCTACACCCCTCAGCATGGGGTTAGAGCAGGGAGCGACTTGTATGACTTGGGATATTCAGGGTAGGCTTTGATGATAAGTGATATTTGAAGCAAGAGTTAAAGGACATTTTAAGCTGTTGGTCAAGAGGATTCCTGAGGAAGAGTACTCCTGGCAGAGGAGAGAACATGCAAAGGTCCTGATGCAGGCGGTGAGCAGATGCATCTGGGGACACTGGGGACATGGGGGGGGGGCTAAGTAGACAACAGCAGAGATTGAGGCCAGAGAGGTGATGAGAGCCAGAATGTGGCATCTCATCTGTGCTATCGTCCAGATTTTACTCAGCAACACAGAGCCATGCAGTGTCAGGACAGTGGAGGGCCTAGATCCTTCCCAAGTGAGCACAAATCCGAAACCAGTGACTTCCCTTTTACAATGTCCTGTCTAAGGCAGCCACATGTGGAGGCCAAAATAGATGTCAGGTCTCGTCCCCAATTGCTCCCCACCTTAACTTTTGAGGCAGGGTCTCTCGCTTAATCTAGAACTCAGCAATTTGGCTACACTGGCTGGTATGAGACCCCAGATCCCCTGCCACTGCTTTCCTAGTGTTCGTGTTGCAGGTACTCACTGTTGAATCTGTCTCTTCACGTGGAGATTAAACTCCGACCTTCACATATACAGCAAATGCTTTGCTGACTAAACCATCCCCCAGACCCATCCCTTGTTCTGTTTTTGCTGTAAACACCCATATCTGTCTGTTGCATCCATGGAGGGCCCCACTTCTGACTCATTCCCTGATGCTTCCCTCATTACAACTTGCAATTATTTTCTAGAAACTTGTTTTGTCTGCACACCTGGGCCGAATGCACTCAGACGTGGGTGGCGTAAATTGCGCCAGTAGCTCCCATCAGCCCGTCTGCAGCCCACTACACCACCAGCTAAGAGGAACACAGCAAAGGGGCTGCTTTGCAAACAGAAACTTAGGGCTCGTCCCTCCAACTTCCTCACACCCTACAATAAAGTGTGTACCTCTAAGTCACTCAGTGTAAATTCCATACCCACCACTGCTCCCCAAACTGACTGTAAGCTACCTGCAGATACGCAGCATGTTTGAAAGCCAGCACACACACACACACACACACACACACACACACACACACACACTTTACTCCTAATGCCCAGTGTGGCCTCCAGCAGCCAGGGTGCAATCTACATTTGTGTTGAGCAAGGGAAATCAAGTCCATGCAGGAAGGATACCCCAGAGGTGTGAACTGATATGTTTTGCCCCAGTTAGAGTAAAGAGAGGGTGTGTTGTCTTGGAAGAAAAGGAGGTAGTGGACAAAACTGAGCAATCCTCTAACTCAGAAAGCATCCCACCCTTCTACAGGGGAGCACCATGCTACAGAAAGCCTTTGAAAGCCAGAAGTTTTCTTTTCAAAGGTGCCACTATGGCCAACAGGGTGTGCTGGGCCTCTCAGGCAAAGTGGTCAAACTCAGCTATGTGGCCTTCAGACAGAGAAGGAAGGATGCCAGGAGCCATAGCGGTGTCCTGGGTACTGTGTCAACTGCCAAGTCAAACTCCGGTTTTCACCATCAGTGACCAAGGATGCTACAATCACCTAAAAAGCCCTCCGCTCACTCCTGGATTAGACAGGCCGCAGCCCACAAGAGGGATCGGACCATTTCAGCACTGTGAGTGGACAGTGCACCCGAATACAGCATCTGCTCACCTTAGCCAGCTGCGTCTGGAGTTTGTTCTTCACATCTGTCTCCTCCGAGATGCGAGCACTGAAGGCTAGGTTGGTGTTGGTGAATTGCTTCCACATCTGGTCTGACAAGGTCTCGAACAGGTGTTCTGCCTCCTCTCGCAGCCGGATAGAGTTGGCCCGCATGTTCTGAGAGTGTCTAATGTTGTCATTACTGAACTTGGCCCAGGTTTCAGGAACAGAGACCCTGAAAAGTCCAAAGGCAGCTGAAGTCAGGTGGGGAACTGGGGAGCTGATATCAGGCAGGTCTTGGAGACCTCAGCATTCAGGGGATCCCCAGCCTTGGCGTGTGGGTCTTTGTTTTTCCTATGCACTGAGGGTAAACCTAACACTGACTCTTACCCTTCCAGGAGCCCCCACACACAGCCTCAATGACCACAAATGGCCCCAAGGCCAGAGGAACACGTCTATTTCCTGTTGAGGACAGCTGCCCAAATCCATCCCTCATTTTACAGGGACACCAATAGGAGCCAGGAGGGGTTCCAGCATTTTCAATAAGGCACTCAAAAGTGGATGGGACAGGTGGTGGTCCTGTTAGGAGCTTTTGCCCTCCTGCCTCCACTAAAGAAGTAACCAGGCCAAGAAGCAGTCAGTAGAGCCCAGACTGGCTCAGGGGTCCCCAGCTCAATGATAGGCCACTAACTCACCTGTTCACTCAACATGCGTGGGGTTTAGCTGGTGGGTTTTTTGTTTTGTTTATTTGTGTTGCTTTCTGGTTTTTGTTTTAGCAGTAGCAGTACAGAGTACAGAGCATCACACATGCTAGGCAGGCATTTTGCTGCTGAGTCACACCCCTGTCCTAAGCATCATGCTGTTAGAGTCCACCATGGGCCACACCTTATTCTAAGTACCAGCAGTGAAGCTCTAAGAATGAGAGCATCCAGGTCCTTGGGGCAACTCCTAGGGGCGCTCACACACTCAGGTGTGAGCCTGGGAGGAAGTTAGAACCAGTTGATAGTGAGACAGCCAGGTCTGAATCAGCTACTGAGATATAAAACATCACATAAAAACTTCAAGAAATAAGCAATTCCTAAATTTTATTTTATTTATAAACACTTTTTAATTGCATTCCATTTGTGGGTTGGTTCAGTGTGGGCATGTGCGTGTGGTCAGAGGACAGTCCGCAGACACTGGTTCTCTCCTTCCACAGTGGGATCCCAGAGCTCAGATTCAGGTCATCGAGCTTACTGGCAGGAGTGTCACCTCAGTGGCCCCAATTCATAAGCTTTAAGTGACTTTCACTACAAAATATTGTGATTATTCTATTCTATTAGTGGGTGTTGCTAACCTTTGCCTGTGCCTCGCTTACACGCCAACACTTATCATAAGTATGTATGAATGTATTGAAAAACAGCTGTTTAGCCGGGTGTGCTGGTGCACACCTTTGACCCCAGTACTTCAGAGGCAGAAGCAGGCAGATCTCTGTGAATTCAAGGCCAGCCAGGTCTACAAAGTGAGTTCCAGGACATTGGGGCTGTTACAGAAAAAAATACTGTTTTGGAAAAACAAAAGAAAAAAGAAAGAAAAACAGCCGTCGTGGTGGTACATCTGGAATCCTAAGAGGCTGTGAAGGAAAAATTGTGAGTTGTCTCAAAAAGACCAAAATCAAAAACTGAACAAGAACCTATCATACGTAGCACGTGGTCTCCCTGCATTTCCAGGTGTGAGGAGGTGTGTGAGAGAACATGACCCATGACTCTTTGAGGGCTGGACTGGGAGACCCCGTCTCCATAAACCAACCAAACTACAAAACTCCCCATGAGCATTTGCTAAGAGAATGCCCTCCTGCCCAATGAGACTGAATCACTGTCTCCACCAGCAGATGCTATGCCCCTGCCTTCCCCTGGAGCAGGCAGTTAAGAGATCCCCAAAGAAAACAGTAGCCTCATCTCCCTCTCCCTGGGGTAAGCCATCAAACGTGACTTGTCTCCCCATAGGTGGTGCACCTCACTATCAGGGGTGTACTTCCCTGGGGCCCATTTCTCTTAGGGCAGAAGGGAGGGCAGGCTTCGATGCAGAGGCAGGAAATTGTCATTGGCAAAACACCTAGACTCCGTGTCCAGTGTAGACTTACAGCTCAGGTGTGCCGACTGCTGTGTGAGTTTAGGCCAATTGCTTTATTGCTCTGGGCGCTGGTTTCATAAAATGGGGACAATTATAGCACCTGTGCCTAGACACACACCTTGTCAAGTGATTGTTATTCATAAGATGCTGCATGCTAAGTTCTAAACACAAAGTCTAACATAGCAACTGTCACCATCACCGTCCCCACCAGCAGCACTGTGATTATCACCACCGTCATCATCATAACCGTCGTCATCACCTCTGTTAACCCAAACTGCTGAGAGCTGCACTGACCCTACAATTCATCAGTCACTGGATGCCCTCTCTTTACTTGGCCTCAAGCCTGGAAAACAGAGTCCCGAGTTCGCACATTGGGGAGTAATTGTCGGCCACAAAGAGCAACTCTTGAGAGTGCAGTAGGACGAAGGTAAAGCAGCCGTTCCCAGTATGAGCGGATTGACAGCCAGGCTTAGGGGAGGCGTTTGTAGGGGTGCAGGGACCCCTTGGTGTCCCTGTGCAGATGGGCAACTGTGCCTACAGGAGCAAAGCCAAAATTCCTGCCTCACTATCCCAAGGCCTCAACCCAGCTGGAAAGAGGAGGGAAGTCCCCAGAAAGTGGCATTCCAGAAATCCCAAAACGGTTCCTTACTATTTGACTAAAATCCAGCTGATGACGCTAGGCATAGTCCACAGAGCCTATCCAGGGGCTTCTTCCCTTCCTCTCTTTCTTTTCTCTTCCTTCCCTCCCTTCCCCCCTCCCCTTTGTTCTTTCATTCCGTAAATACCTATGGTGAACATAATGCCCAATACAATTCTGTCTGCTAGAGATGAAACACAGTGTAAAGCAGAAACCAGGATGGACCCCACCCTCTTGCCTGCACCCAGAGCATCTCTCTCCCACCCTTTCTCCTCAGACCACAGCCCGTGGACAAAGAAAGCATGTATCATTCCATCTGACCTTCCATGATATGGTGGCATGCCCTCCAGAGTGCCATGCATACAAGAGGCCTCGGTGCTACTCACAGCTGCCAGGGTGAAAAAATTATGCTGCACAATTGCACGCAATCAGCATCAGGCATTCCTGTCGAATGCTGTGTTCTGTGTCCCCACATCCTGTGTCCATCTTTTCTTCCTCACAGTAACCCAAGAAAGTACACACTATTTCCCCCCGTGGTGCTGATACAGAAATGTGGCCCCAGAGAGTTTAACCTGCTTTAACTCACCCACAGTGTGCACACAGAGGCTGGAACACAGCAAGCCCAGGCAGCCTGGCTGTACATGCATGTGTGTGTGTGTGTAGTGCAGAGAACTAAAGTTGGGTTTTATACCTGCTAGGCAAGTTCTGAGACTTATTTCCAGCCCTGAAGAACCTATTCTCTCCCGCAAACCCAAGTGCTGGTGGACCCTGCTGTGTTGGGAGCTATTTGGCCTAGTTTCAGGCTGGTATATGACTGCTGTTCTAACAGGTATCCAGATGAGGCAAAGCTCACAGGACAGTCTCACTCGGTGAGGACCAGCAGACGTCAGGACAGCGCAGGAGACCGCTGGGACCGCGTGGCCTGCGCGCTCTCTTGTCTCCCACCATCGTGATGATTCTCTTGGTGATTTTAGTGTTATTTTGTCAATCATGCATGGGACAGGCATGCTCATTCCTGGAAATCCCATTTTTCCTTGAATACTTCCCCCTAAAATTCTTTGGGGGCTGATGCTTCTCAGTTTTCTCGTCTGGGGATGTCAGCCGCCACTGCAGCCCCCAGGAACTGTTCTGATTCGGCGCTGACAAAATGAAAGGCAGATCACCCCTATTTCTATGTTTTGGACGAGATCATTGGTCTTGAAAATATGTGCTTAATATATCACCTCTAGTTTTGTAAAGACAGGATGGATCCGGCTCGGTATGTGGCCTACCTAGCATGATGATAAGTGTTGTTTTGGACTTAAAGATGTTTCTATGTAGAAGTTGGGGAAAAACATATTTGACTTTTTTTGTTGTTTGCTGCGGTTAACGTTGGAGAAAGAAAAACTTGTTTGTTAGTATGGAAAAACGTGTTTGTTTTGATGTATCAGTAAAGACAGCTGGAGCAATTCGGGGACAGTCGCTTGTGTGAAACTCATCTGGTGGTCGACACTTCACTTCTTCATGCTGAGGCCCCTTTCCCATCTCAAGTCCTGCAGCTGGACCGTGGCACTACTGAACGGAACTCCTGCTCCTACTGGTGACAGCTATTACATTTTACGCTTTGGCGTAACTGCCAATGGAAGCATTTCCAGCATGCCCTACCACTGTGGCAGTGGCCCTGCGACTCTCAGCTGAGCCAATCACATGATTTGTACCTTAGGAAGGGTGGAACAAGGATGCAAAGATGGCAATGTAGACGTGTACCCAGTGCCTCCCACCCAAGGCCACACACACAGCAAGTGGGTGCAGAGCCAGGGCCGCAGGGCAGGCACACAGATCCCCAGGACACACACCCGGATCTCCCCTCCCTTGTTCCTTCTGACTGCCAGAACCTTCCCCTGCAGCCTTCTGCTTGACTCTGGTGCTCCCTTACAGACTTCCAGTAAATTCTTATCTTAACCACTAGCCAGACTAAGATCCCGCCCCTTGCAACAGAGGATTCCATTGAAAGGCCACTTGACTGGCACGCAACACCCTTCCCTTAACTCCCATTGGACCTGGTCAGAGACAAGGAGAGAGAGCTGGGTACGTACGTTCCGTCAAACTTCTCCATGCCATGGAAGAAGCTGATGGCGTCGGATGTGTTTCTCAGGTTAAAACACCCCTCATCAATACACTGGGCCGAGGTCTTGTCCTCGATGTCCCGCTCTAGGGCATGCTGAGCATCCCGGTTATCTCTGTAAGAAGAAGCACTGTGTGGTCACCCAGCATCCTCCATCCACAGCCGCCATCGTGCATCAGGTGCAAACCCAGTCCTCGGACTCGCAGGAAAGAGCTGCCCAGAGGCTGCTCAGCTCTGTTCCCCCTTGGTGTCAACACCTCCTACTCAGAGCCACTAGGGCTCGCTCCAGGACGAACACACCTGCTGCCTGAAAACAGAGATGGCCAGACCCACAGGACGGCTCCGGAGGAAAAAGAGCTGCTACTCAAGCATGTTGGCCTAAGTCTGATCCGCGAAGTCACAATGGAAGAGAGAACTGATTCCTGAAGCTGTCCTCTGGTTTCCAAATGACACGCAAGTATATGAGTGTACACACACACACACACAAATAAAATACAAATTGGGGGGGGGGGGAATGAGCCAGCATTTACTATAAATGGCCAGGCAATGTGGTGCATGCCTTTAATCCCAGCGCTGGGGAGGCAGAGGCAGGAGGATCTCTGTGAGTTCAAGGCCAGTCTGGTCAACAGAGCAAGTTCCAGGACAACTGGGGCTACCCAGAGAAATCCTGTCTTGGAAAACAAAAACAAACAGAAAGGCCAAGTAGTCAATGCCTCAGGCTCTGAGTGGTGTGGTATCTCAGTTGCATCCACTCAACCAGCCACAAAGAATATGTAGGTTCCTGGCATGGCTTTGTTTTGGTAGTAAAAACACTCACCAGAGAACGTGAGTTCAGTTCCCAGCACCCACAGGCAGCTCACATCATCTGTAGCTCCAGTTCCATGAGATCCGATGCCTTCTCGGGCCTCTGAAGACACCAGGCACACACCTGGTGCACATATGTACACACAGGCAAACACTCATGCACACAGAATAAAAATTAGTCTTAAAACATCCCTGTATTTCTAAGAACAGATGGCAGGCCAGATTTAGTAGATTCCGAGCCATCTTTGGACAAAGTCTGTGTGGAGCCACTTCTATCACAAACATACCACTGTGAAATGGAAGACGGTTCTGAACACCAGCGTTAGTGCGTAGAGAAAGCCCTGCCTTCAAGTTGCTCGAATTGTATAACTAAATGTAGCCATCATGGTAAAGGGAACTGTGGGGACTCTAAAAAGACAGGACACAGTACAGTGGAGGAGTCATCAACGCAGGCAGAGGGAGCAAAACCTGAGGCTGCCCGAGTCTGAGCTGCTGTCTGAGCCAGGCGCTCATATCAAGCAGGAATCGGCACTACGGACAAAGCTGCGCAGATGGGCTCCAGTTAACACGAAAGAAAAGCTAGAAATAACCAGGTGTTCAGGGACTGGGACCAGCTGAGATCAGGGCCGGGGGGGGGGGGGGGGGGGGGGGGGGGGGGGGGGGGGGGGGGGGGGGGGGGGGGGGGGGGGGGGGGGGGGGGGGGGGGGGGGAGGAGGGGCTGCTGGGTGTAGAGGGGTGGGGGCAGGGACTTGAGCCTGGACTGTTGGAATCGGAGCTAAGCTTGGCCAAGGCTCCAAACTGCCGGCAACCACTTTCACAATTCTCACCAAGTACCAAGTACCTGCTCCTTTGCTTACTCTTTCCGTCTTTTCAAATGACATATAAAATAGCAATGAATGCATTTGAAAGGGGAATTCAGATTCGGGTCCTTAAAGGAAAACAGTAACTCTCGGCTATTAATAGAAGGTTGTTTCAGACCTAAATAAACCAAGTAGATACTCCTAGCTCGCATCTAAGAAACCTCTAAACCTGAACCTCTCCCTGTGTTCTGTGTTGAGAGAAGGTGAGTTCTTGCTAATAACATGCAGACACCCACCAAGACCCACCCTGGGACCTTGCATATTGAGCCAGGATAGCGAAGTAGGGCTTGTCTTAGCTGGTGAACTGTGGTGTAACAAAAGCCAGAAGGTAACAGGGCAGAGCACGGAGGTCAGCGGAACCTCAGAGCAGCTGGTACCAGTGCTTGCTGCTGCCGAGGACGAGGGAGCGGCCTCTGTTGGCCTTTATGGCAAACCTCACCCTGCTGTCAGCCCACCAGAAAGGGCCTAAGCTTGGCTCCTCCCCAGTCAAGAGGAACCTTTTCTATTCTTTTGGGGTGCCCATACCATGAGAACACCCCTCTTCCTGGAAGCAAATCTCAGTCCTGGCCCAGAAAGTCACAAGCCCTCATCTGTGACCACCTGAGCAGGTCAACGTTGGAGCCTCTCAGCAAGCTAGGTCTGAGTATCCCCACGCCATAGGCTACCCTGCTGGCCATCTCAAGAAGGGCAGCCCTGGCTGTGCCTTCTGCGACAAGAACAAGCAAAGAAGAAAAACCAGCCGAGCGGCGTGCCCCTGGACAGGGAAGGGTAAATGCCAAGCGCCAGCACCATGGGAAGAAGCCGTCTCATCGGAGCCGAGGGGCCCCAAACCTGGCAAAGCGCAGAGCTCCCTTTAATTACACAAGAGGCCCCTGGCTTGGCACGATGCCAGTTTACATCATGATCTAAGAACAAAAGCTGGTGCCTTTTGAAGACTCCCTGCTCAAGCGTCCACCAACACCCTTCCAGAGCTGTCCCATTCCCTTGCCCTATTGCCTAATGTCACCAGGTGCTTCTCGTCCCAAGTTCAGACCTGGCCTGGGGAAGCCAAAGCTAAGTCAGGTGTTGGGAGGTTGGTGCCTTCTGTCGGGCCAACACAGTTGGGGGATGAGCTAGCTCGGCGAGCAGATGAGCGTCCCAGGACACACCCCCACTCTTCCCAGCCCACAGAGCTGGTGTTAAACATCTGACAGAATGCAAGGACCTCAATAGTTACTCAGAGACACGTGGATCCATCTGGCTGTTCCCCAGAAATCTGGGGAACCCACAAGCGATTCTGAAGGAGAGAATCTCTTACCGCATCTGGAAATCGACTCGTTTAGCTAATTTTCTCATCTGATCTTGGCAACATTTTAGTAAATCTACTTCCTGAAATAAAAAAAGGAATGTCAGAAAGACCTGGCATGGTTGGAAATTCACCGGTCCGAGCTCTCATGCAGGAGCCCCGTGGCGGGAAACACCAGAGTGGGGATCCCAGGACCACTGAAGCTAAGAGTGGATGGCAGTGGCCTTGAGTTCAAAATCTTCCTGCCTCAACCTCCCTAGTGTTGGGGTTGTAGGCATGTGCCACCATACCTAGGTTTCTTAGTTTTCCTTCTCCTTTCCTCCCTTCCCCCTCCCTCCCTTCCTTCCTTCAATCCTTCCTTCCTTCCTTTTTCTTTTCTTTCCTTTCTCCCCCTCCATTCCTCTTTCCTTCCTCTCTCTTTTCTCTCTTCCACTCCCCTCTCTCGTGAGCTAGGCAGGCAATTCTACCACTGAGCTATCTTATCCCCTCTTCTTATTTTGAAACAGGAGCTCAGTGATTTGCCCAGTCTAGCCTTAAAGTCATGTTATAGCCCATGTAGGCCTTGGCTTAGTGATCCTCCAGCCTCAACTGCCTGAGTAGCTGATATTACAGGCATGTGACACTATATCTGGCTTATTTTTTATATACTTAAAAATTAAAATAAAATTTAGCACCAACTATGTGTAGAGTGCTCACAGATTATTTTTCATTAAATTAAAATCACATATCTGAATTGGTATACATTTACAGTATACAGTATATGCTTAATAAATACTATCTTTATGAGTACCATTTGTCTAGCATATATGAAGCCTTCAGTTATATTCCCAGCACTATATAAATTAGATGTGATTGTACATGTATGTAATCTCAGCACTCAGAAGGTGGAAGCAGGAGGATCAAGGGTTCAAGGTCATTTTCAGCTACACAGTGAACTTGAGGATAGCCTGGGGTACCTGAGACCCTGCTTAAATGAGCAAAAATAAATATACATGGGTCTTCACTATCATTATCATGGTGCCGTCCTCATGTCACTTTGAGAATAATAAGATTGAAATCAAATACTCCCAATCTAGTTCTGCTTCTCCCCATCCTACACGAGGACACCAGTGCCCACTAGTGTTCTCTGAGCTGTAACTCCATGGGGACATCACATGTGACTTCTGCTCCAGACAGGCCACTCAGAACCTTTTGACTAGCCAGCTGTCATCTCACCCACTCCCAGGTGGCACCTTACCCGGATAAGGTTTTTCTCAACGTTGTCGTGGACAAGGTCTATTCCGATCCTTTTCTCCCGATTGTACAGACATTCCAGGGCTACCTATTAAAGCAATGGGAAAGAGTGTGTCCTGTGGAGGCCTGAATAGAACCTGAGTGTAGGTGAGTCAGAACCTATGCCTTGTCTGCTCTGTTCTGTGAGGTACCTGGGTGTCCCATGGGGCCTCATCATTGTGTTTGTGTGCCAGGACCACTGAGAGCCCATGTATTCAAATCAGGACAAGGATGTGTCCTAGGAATCGGTATAATTGGGAGAGAGCCTATGATGCTTCACCTTGAACTCACCCTGATAGAGCTAAGAAACACCTAAAAATCAGGTGTGGTGTCATAGATAGATAGATAGATAGATAGATAGATAGATAGATAGATAGAGGATAGATGATAGATTATAGATAAATGATAGATGTATAAGATAGATATTGATGATGTAGATAGATAGATAATAGATAAATGATAGACATATAAGATAGATATTGATGATGAAGATAGATAGATAGATAGATAGATAGATAGATAGATAGATAGATAGAGGATAGATGATAGATTATAGATAAATGATAGACATATAAGATAGATATTGATGATGAAGATAGATAGATAGATAGATAGATAGATAGATAGATAGATAGATAGACAGACAGACAAACAGAGGAGATCACCTCTCGATGTGCCCATGAAGATAATTCCAAAGGTGACTGGCTCAAGAGGACATGGATCATCAATGGATTCAGGTCAGATGTGAGGTCTAGGGGGAGGAAGTAGGTCACGGGGAGTGTCTTAGGGTTTCTATTGCTGAAAAGAGACACCATGACCACAGCAACTTTTATAAAGGAAAACATTTAATTGAGGCAGCAACTTACAATTTCAGAGGTTAAGTCCATTATCATCGTGGCAGGGAGAATGGTGACTGGGAGTATAGCAGCGTGCAATCAGCCGTGGTGCTGGAGAAGGAGCTGAGAGTTCTACGTCTTTCACAGGCAACAGGAAGTGAGCTCAGACACTGTATGGTATCTTGAGCATATATAAGACCTCAGAGCCCACCTCCACAGTGACACACTTCCTCCAACAAGATTACACCTGCTCCAACAAGGCCATACCTCCTAAAGTGCCACTCCCTTTGAGGGCCATTTTCTTTCATACCACCACAAGGAATACCTCTCACAAGCCCTTGTCTCTTCCTGTGTTTTGTCTTTGCTTCCTGTCGGCCAGGAAGTGACCAACCTCTGCCATACATTCCCAGTGCCATGGTATTTGGACCAGGTGCACAGGGTCAATCAATCATGATTAAAACCCTCTGACATTGTGAGCTGTTACTGATGGGTCTTTGATCACAGGGATAACACCCCTTCCCATTCTCTGCAAGTTGTCCCTAAGCTTTCCCAAACCACGATAAAGCCAAGCTATCATTTCAGATAGCTGCGGTCCTCCTGTTTCTTGGGTTCAAACTCAGGCTTAGCCACTTCCTACTGTGTGCACTTGGACACGTTGGGTGACCTCTCAGCCCCACTATGTCTTCATCCATACACAGGCTCAGGGTTGGAGCACTATCTCACCAGTCAGGTTTGTGAGCAGATTATGTCCACCTACACGAGTGAAGACCTCATGTAGAACCCTGTCTGGGATGGGACATCTTCACTGGTACCATCTCCTGAGCACCAGCACTGTTCTCTCTGCTTCCTGGCTGCAGACACCGTGTGACCAGCTGCCTCACACTCCTGCCACCATGCCCTCCCCACCATGATGGACCATTCCCTCAAACTGTGAGTCAAAATAAACCCTTTCCTCAGCTGCTCTTGAAGGAATTTGTTATAGCTTGAGAAAAGTCAATGGATCCTGTGGTGGTGGTTTGAATGAGAATGCCCCCCCACCCATAAATTCATATACATGAATTTACACACACACATACACACACACACACACACACACACACACACACACACACGCACACACACGCTTAGTCCCCAGTTGGTAAATTAGGAAGTGTGGCCTTGGTGGAGAGCCACTGGGGGTGTTTCTCCCTGCCTGCTGCCTGTGGTCCGGATGTGCAGCCCTCAGTAACTGCTCTAGTGCCATGCCTGTCTGCTTCTCACCATGATGATCAGGCACTACTCCTGTAAACCTGTAAGCAAGCTCCCAATTAAATTCTTCCTTTTATAAGAGTTGCCTTGGTCATGGTGTCTGTACACAACAGTAACTAAGACAGTCTCTATGGCTATCCTTGTACACCTTTTTTTTGGTGCTGTTCAAGTAGAAGGCAAGCTACGGAAAGGGGGCAGGGCCCTGTGAGACCAAGGCAGCATTGCCACAGTCCCTGAACTCCACTCCAGGGGTCTTGGGGACCTGAGCACAGCTGCAGGTCAGACAATGAGCTGTTTGTCTAAGGAAGTTCTCAAGGGACTGAGGAACAATGGTGATCAGCCACTTGCCTGTCTGTGACATCATAAAGGCAAACAGGCCCAAGAAGGGAGCAGAGGGTTCTAGGAGCAAAGGCACCAAAGAGCTCAGAAAGGAGGGGGATCCAGTGACTTGCTGTCCAGGAGCTTGGAGGGCCTGCTCTGAGCTCTGCTCGATCGAGAGGCTGGAGAAGAACACGTGACCACACAGACAGCCCTGCTTCAACAGGCTGCGTTCCATAGAGCAAAGAGAATACCTTGAGAAATTAGAGATGGGTCGTCAGGTAAAGGCAGTTACTGCCAAGCCTAATGACCAGATTTAGTCCCCAGGAACTATGTCATGGAGAAAGAGAGGCCACCTTGCAAGTTGTCCTTTGACCTCCACATGTTTATCATGGTGCACATTCATGAACACACACACACACTAAAATACTTAAAAGATGATAAGATTTTGATAAGGGATGCAATGAAAATAAGGTGACATTGTGGGTAGGGAGTACCCAGTGGTGGTCAAGAAGGAAAAGATTGGTACTGACACGAGACATGAGAAGAACAGGCAAAGGCGAACAGGAATGAGGACGAGGCTGCTGCAGGCACAAAGGCCCTGAGGTCAGAGGAACAAGAAAATTGGAGCGGAATGGAGAGGGGCAGACCAGAGCTTTAGTACAGGTTATGGAGGAAGGGGATTCAGGAGTTAAGATGTTAAAATGGGTCTGGGGCTATAGCTTCATTGGTAGAGTGCTTATTTCACAGTTCCCAAGTACAGATAGACCCAGTATGGTGGTAAATATAATCCCAGTGCCTGAGAGGCAGAGGCAGGAGAACCAAGAGTTCAAGGTCATCCTGGGATACAAAGTAATTTTGAGGTCAGCCTAGGCTACATGAAGTAACACCTGTTGTGCTTTGAATAGGAATGACCTCCATAGACTCATGTGTTTGAATGCTTGGTTTATAGGAAGTGACAAAATTAGGAGGTGTGGCCTTGTTGGAGGAAGTGTGTCACTGTGGGGGTGGGCTTTAAAGGTTTCAGATGCTCAAGTCCAAGATCAGTGACTTGCTGTGGAATATTATTTTAAAATGTATTACAATTGTTTATGCTGTGAAACATTTGTTTAATGATGCAAAGATGTGTTGCATTCTTTTATGCTGCATTTGTTTTACTCTGAAAAGATGTGTTACTTTGGCTGTCTGAAACACCAGATGGTCTAATAAGGAGCTGACCAACCAATAGTGAAGCAGGAGAAAGAATAGGTGGGGCTGGCAGGCAGAGAGAATACAGAGAAGGAGAAATCTAGGAGGAGGAATAGGAGCAATATAGAACAAGGAGAGGAGGACACCAGGGGTCAGCCACCCAACTACACAGCAAGCCACCGAGAAAGAAGAAAGGTACACAGAAATAGAGAAAGATAAAAGCTCAGAGGCAAAAGATAGGTGAGATAATTAAAGATAAGAAAATCTGGTTACAAACAAGCCAAGCTAAGGCTTATTTATAAGAAACAATAAGACTCCATGTGGGATTTGTTTGGGAGGTGGGTGGCGGGCCCCCAAAGGGTAAAGAATTAAAAACAACCAACTACAGTGACTGACAGCTCTTTTCCCGCTGCCCACAGATCTAGATGACAGCTCTCAGCTCCTTCCTCAGCACCGTGTCTGCCTGCATGCTGCCGTGCTTCCTGCCATGGTGATCACGGGGACTAAACTCTGAACTATAAGCTGGCCTAATTAAATGTTTTCCTTTATAAGAGTTTCTGTGGTCATGATTCTTGTCACAGCAATAGAACACTAAGACAGAAGTTGGCACCAGGGACTGGGGTATTGCTGTGAGAGGCCTGACCATGCTTTTGTTTGAAGGAATATAGACCTTGGGACTGTGGATTAGAAAAGCAGTTCAATGTTTTAAGTCCTACTTAATGGGCCACCCTGGTAGGATCATAGAAGACAGGGGTGCTGAGGGTGATTCGGCCTGTGTGGGGCCTGACTCAGTTCCAAAGGAGAAGAATATTAGTATGTAGCCTAGAGACTGATCTTGTGATATTTTGGTTAAGAATGTGGCTGCTTTCTGCCCTTGTTCAAAAGAGTCTGCCCGAGGCTAAATTTAAGGATTAATTGCTTTGGCAGAGGAAATCTCCAAACAGCCTAGTATAGACTCTGTCGTGGGGTTATTAGTGTTAACTCTAATGAAGATCTTTAATGAAAAGGAGCAAACTGAGACAGTAAAAATACAAAATGTACAAGATGAGGAGAAAAGGGAAGTGGACTAGAAGTACGTCCTGTATTCAAGGAAATAAATGGATATTTTTTTTAAAAAAAATCCTATGTTAAATGAAATAAAGGGAGTGGTGACCTCAGGGCAAGACCCCACCCAGCAAAACTTCCAACCTGTGAAAAGGGATTAAAGAGTGGTTTAGGTCCAAGCGTGGTGGCGCTGCCTTTAATCCCAGCACTCTGGAGACAGAGGCAGGCGGATCTCTGAGTTAAAGACCAGCCTGGTCTACAGAGCAAGAGCAGACTTAGGTGGTGATGAAAAACAGAAAGCTGATGAAGATGTAAGTGAACAAGGGAGCGATGTTCCAGCCCCAGCAAGAAGCAGAACTTGGCAGCTTCGGCCTTAGGGTCCTGGCTTTGGAGTCAAGGACAAAAGAAAGGGATTATGTATGGGATCTTCCTCTGTGACTAAGGAAAGCTGCTGAGGCCAGGCTTGTGTCAGGAGTGGCCCTGAATAGAGGCCTAAAAAGCCAATGCATGAAGCTATGAAAAAAGGTGAAGCCTGGGTTGCCTTGGAGACCCCAAGATGTTGGCAATGTCAGAGTCATGGGATTCCTGCCAAGGAAAGATGCTAACAGGGAGTGGAGCCAACCCAAGAGAAGTGTGTTGCACTAACAGCTGAAAGAGGTCGGGATCTGAAGAGCGCTGTGACAGCAGACATGGAGACGCAGAGTGTGGAGTTTGCACAGCTGGTTTCAGTCTTGCTTTGGTCCAGTATTTCCTCCTGTTTGGAACAATAGTGTATTGTATGTTGAAAGTATATGATCTGATTTTTTATTTTGTTTTTATAGGGGATTACAGTTAAGAGATTGCCATGAGTCTCAGGAGAGACTTTGGACTTTTAAATATGGTTGAGACTGTGGTAGTTGGACTGAATGCATTTTTGCTTTATGATATGACTACAAGCCTTTGGGGGCCAGGGAGTGGAATGTGGTGGTTTGAATAGGAATGGCCCTCCTACACTCACACACTATTGGGAGGTGTGGACTTGTGGGAGGAAGTGTGTCGCTGTGGGGTTGGGCTTTGAGGGCTCAGTGGCCAACAGCTCTCTTCCTGCTGCCTGTGGATAAAGGTACAGCACTCTCAGCTCTTTCTCCAGCACGGTGTCTGCCTGCACTCTACCACACTTCCCACCATGGTGACAATGGAGTAAATCTCTGAACTGTAAGCCGGCCCTAAGGTTTCCCTTATAAGAGTTGCCATGGTCATGTTGTCTCTTCACAGTTATAGAAAATCTAACTAAACAACACCCCACAAAACACTTCCCCTCCAAAAGACATTAAATTTAAGGAAGCCTTCTAGGAGCCAGTGGGAGAAGGGTGCAATCTAGTTTGATATTTGGTTCCTGGGGTGGAGCCTGGAAAAAGATCATTGTTCCTGCTGCTGAGAAGCATCCTGGACTGTGGTAGCCAGGAGACAGGGAGAAGCAGATAGAATTCAGGTGTGTCTGGTTCCTGCCCCACCTGTGCACAGGCAGAGCCGGGCTTCCAGACCATTGGAGAGAATAAAGAGGGGAAGAGAGAACAATAGACTTCCCTCAGCTGCCAGTCTCTGTCCAGCTCCTTGGTAAGGAACAAGCCAGGGGAGGGAGGGAACAGCAGAGCACTCCCCAGATGGATTTGGGAGTTCCAGAGTGTTAAAGCTTTGCTGTGAGCGTTCCTGCCACTGTCCCAGCCTGGTGCAGACACAACTGTCAGGTGTGGCGGGTTTCCAGGTGGCAGGCCCTGTATGCTCTAGTGAGCCCCAGGACTAATTTCCACAGCAGGAAGCAGACACTGTCCCTACCCAACAACCTCTTAATCCCTTCTGAACTTTCTCCTGGGTGTAGAGAAAAACATTCCCTTACCCAGACTCCTCTGTAGCCAGGAGGCCCCTATGAGTTCTCTCAAATAGGCTAACAGGAAGACATGATTCTGGAAATACGGCTATTCCTTGCTAGTGTGAGACAGAGCCGACTGTCCTTTGCCCTAGCCCCACTTCCTGCCTCCAATGAAAATATCAAATACTCCTTCCTTTTAGTATTAGGGCAAAAGCCACATGCTGAGAGAGAGAGAGAGAGAGAGAGAGAGAGAGAGAGAGAAGCCTTGTCCTGGCAGAGCATTGGGTCTACATTTGACTCTGAAATCCTCATCATGACAGAAACAAACTGTGTGGCTAAGTCACATGCAGCCCAAAGGCATCCTAACTGACTCAGGGGTAGGAGTCTCGGAGGCCAAGGGAGGGTCAGGAATGTCCACGTGAAGATATATATTCACTTATTCAAAAGTGTTCATTGACTCCTGCGGCCACCATGGAAAGCTGTATTCTCTCACCCTTTCTCCCCCCCCCCACAGCATAAAAACAAAAAACAAAACAAAAACCTGGAAATGGAACTAGCTTATGATCCAACTATACCACACATAGTATGTACTTGAAGGACTTTATAGCTATATTATTCACAAGAGCTAAGAAATGGAGCCAGCCTAGATAAAGCATCTTGCTGGGGCCCCTCACTCGATGGCTGAGGCTGGTTGTCAGCTGCTCTGGCATCAGCACAGAGGCTCTGGGAAGGTCTGTGAGAATACTGACTGGAAGAGGAAGCTCCCCAAGAATGGGCAGCACCTGCTGAAAGCCCACATACGCAGAGGGTTGGAAAGAAACAGGGCAGCTTTTGCCTGCCTTCCTTCGTTCCTTGCTGGTGAATCCATCTACATCATCACAGCTGCTGTTGCTCAGCTTCTTCAGCTTTCCAACATGGAGGCCCGCAACTCTCCAGAACCCCGCCGGCCAGGCACCCATCACCAGACCGGGAACGATAAGGTATCGAACCTATTGCACAAAGCAGCTGCAGGGCTCTAAGCACCTTCAGGCGGCCATTGCTTCAGTACCCAGCATGAATTGCCCAAGTCAATCCCATAAATTCCTCCGTGGTCTATATTCATCCTACTGGCTCCGCTCCACTAGAGAACCCTGACGAACACGCCAAAGAAAAAGAGAAATTGAACCACTATGGAAAACTCCCGTCTGACTGAGGCTATTCTGAGTTGGCTGAGGTTTTTTTTTTTTTTTAAAGATTTATTTCTATTATGTGTGTGTATTTTGCTTGCTTCCATGTCTGTATGCCACGTGCATGCAGTGCCCTAGGAGGCCAGAAGAGGGTGTCTGATCCCCTGGAACTAGTTACAAGTCACTGCCACTGTGAGTTGCTGCCATGTGGGTGCTAGGAACTGAAGCCATAGGTCCTCTACAGGAATAACCAATGCTCTTGAGCCACCTCTCTCTCCAGGTTCCGATCATTTTCACCTTAAAATGTGATCATAAAAGACAAGGCAGTTCAACCCACCTGCAAGGTGCCTGTCACCTTGACTCAACAACAGCAGAGGCAGCAGCAGTGTCTCCTTCCCCTACTCACCTGCAGAGGACAGTTCACCTCCTGGGCTGCGCACTCCAAGCGCCTCTTGATGGTGTCCATGCTGTTGTTCTCTGTCCGAAGCCTGTCCAGCTCATAGCACAACTCGGACTTCCAGAAGCCGATGTCGGATAGCCTCTGGCCCAGGTTCCGGGAGGTCCCTTCCTGCATCTGGCGCGTTAGCTGGTCCTTATCCTGCATGATCCGCAGGGAGTCGCCAGTCAGCCGGCTGGCCCAGAGTCGTGAGGCTTCTGCGCCCCTGATCTGCAGCTCGTTGGAGCGGTCCCAGTCGCGTGGGGTGTAGCGACAGAAGAGCGCGGAGCGGAGTGAGGGCAGGATGGTGGGCGGACGCCGGGCGCCTTGGCATTCCTCTGGGCATGACTGGGTGGTGGCAATCTTGTAGAAGACGCTGGGTTTCCACGCATTCAGGTAGCGGTAACCGGGCAAATGATAGGGTTGGTAGCACTCCTGTATTATAGGGCCCTGCCCAGCAGGGGGCAGCATCTGCATGCCACAGTCTTTCTTGGGGCCACAGTAACTGGCTGTCTGAGTGGTTCCTAGAAACTCCATCTTTCCCCATCAGCCCCACGCGGGCAAAATTCTGCCCTAAGAGCCAGGGCATCCCAGGAACCAGGAGCCGCAGCGCCTCTGTGAGTCAGCGCTGGTGTCATAAAGCGCGGAGAGGGTCTCTGTGCTAAATCCTGTTCCCCAAGTTATTGGAGGCCCTATGAGCCAAATAATAAGCAATCAAAAAGCCAGGCGGTGGTGGTGCACACCTTTAAACCCAGCATTCGGAAGGCAGAAGCAGACAGATCTCTGAGAGTTCGAGGTCAGCCTGGTCTACAAGAGCTAGTTCCAGGGCAGGCTCCAAAAAGGCAATCAATAAAGAGAAGTGCGCTTAGTGGCTAAAGAGACTGGGTGATTGTTAAGAGCAAAGGACCCGAGTTCCCAGTACCCACATCACAACTTCCTGATTCCTCTGGCCGCATGCACAAATGCACATAATGTAAAAGAAAATAAAAATAAGGTTTTTAATTCTTTCTTTCTTTCTTTCTTTCTTTCTTTCTTTCTTCTTTTCTTTTTTCCAGTTTGACAACCCATGGGTTTGGGGCTGAAAGAAACAACAGGTGTCTGTCATTCTGAAACAACAAAGTCTGCCTTTCTAGAGCTGAATCAGCAGTGTGTGTGTGTGTGTGTGTGTGTGTGTGTGTGTGTGTGTGATCTAATGTGGTCCACATTTCTCCCCTTGGGATCGGCTGAACTGCATAAGCTGCCTGTCTTTCCTTGTGCCTGCAATTTCAGCACTTGGGGAGGTGGAGGCAGGAAGGAGGTGAATGCAAAGCCATCCTCAGCTATATGTGTTTTTGTTTGGTTTTGAGACAAGGTTCCATGTACCTGGGCTAGCCTCAAACTGGCCACGTGTCTGAGGATGACCTTGAACTTCTGATTCTCCTCTGTGACTGTTCTAATGTTGACATTACAAGTCTTACCAGCCTATGCCACTGCTCAGTTGGAGCCTGGGGCTTCATGCATGCTAGGCAAACATTCTACCAAGCTCTTGGTTCATGGGTTTAAGGATAGCCTGGGTTACTTGTGACTGATTTCAAACATCAGCTATTTTAAAATGACCCTCGCACAGCACAGAGTGGCGTTCAGCGGTAGTGTTCGCACCAGCAGGAAGTGTCTTGGTGATCCTAGACTAAGGGTGAACATTTAGATTGCAAAGCCTAACAACGCAGAGTCACTGCTTTTGCATGACATTCCAGGCAAGTAAAATGGGTCACCAAAGACAAATCAGTTTGGGGAATGCAAAACCGGCCCTTTGATCAGTCTTCCTGGCATAGTGAATGGGTGAAGGAAAGTTAAGAATTTGGGAGAGGGTGGGAAAGTGGAGATGGAGCGACTCTGTTTCTGATCATGGAGGAGAGCACACAGCTGTTTATACTTGTCAAACCCCAGAGAACGTTCTAGTAAAGCTGAATCAGGGCCAGTGAGGTGGCTCAGTGGATAAAGACACCAAGCCTAACGACCCAGTTTCCGTTCCTGGGGCCCATGCCATGGAAAGTGGGAAGCAACTTCTGCAAGTTGTCCTCTGACCTCTGCACAAGTTTTGTGACATGTGTACGCATTCCCTACACACACACACTATACATAAATTATACTTCAATGCCCTTGAATTTTAAATATGGAGGGAGGACTTTGAGCCCTGAGAGGCTGAAGCTATGCTTGCTTTCTTTATAATTAAATCCCAGCATCCTGCATGCTATCAAACATCTAAAACAAAGACCCTCACTTCTCTGGGAATTTTGTCACACTAAGGACCCTCCTCCATGCTTAACTGTTGCATTGAACCTAGAATGGGAAGATGCTGGCGGGTGGGCCTTACCCTCTCTGGGAATGTAGAAGAGGACCATGGACCCTGTGGTCGACGGGTGTATCACTCAGCTTCCAGGGACTACACCAAAACACCCGAGACTGCGAACGGATCATAAAAGGCTTTTTTTGGGCGCACAGCTCTGTGGCTGCCAGTAGATAATTAAGTAATTGCTTTTGGCCCCTGACAAATGGTCCCCCAAGAAGACCACACACCCTGGCTACAGTGAGTGGAGAGAGAAGGAATACTGCCTATACCAAGAGCAGGGGATCAAAGAGGAAGAAGATGGCAGGAGCACGTAACCCTCTTCAGGTACAGCCCCTGTCCCTAGGTACCTTTCGTTAGGCTCCACCTCCATCTCTAACAGTGACATGGGGGACACTCAATATCTGAAATACAGCAAGAGTGTTGGGAGCTTGATGGTGCTTTTCTCCCCAGTTCCCTACAAGGAGTGCACGTGAGCAGCCAGGGGTGTAGGAGATGACATTTATGAGGCACTTGGGGTGGAGTGCTGTTTTACATTTGCCAATATATCCTTTCCTTGGTTAACTACAAGGAATGCTCAATAGGATGGGCCAGCAAGGGCTGGCCTGCAGCATCTACAGTGTGGGATCCCCTCAGGCAATTGTTTTCAACCTATGGGTCATGACCCCTTTGAGGGATCTAACAACCCTTTCCCAGGGGTCACCTAAGACCACCAGAAAACAAAAACATTTGCATTATGATTCACAACAGTAGCAAAGTGACAATTATGAAGTAGCAATGGAATTTATGGTTGGGTCAGCACAGCAGGAGCATCAGGAGGTTGAGAACCACTGCTCTAAGGGGAGATGCCACTTATGATAGGTGCCTCGCAAGGGCCAGGAGCCCAACAAATACACTGCAAAGATTCTGTGCATCTGTGCACAGTGTGAGCCCAGGCCTGGGGGGACACTAGGGACAGAGACAGAAGAGGCACTTTGTGGCCTCCACGGAGCAGCAGGGCCAGATTCCCAGAGCTGAGGCCGACGACCCTTCCAGAGTGGGGCAGGGTTTTCTGTCACCCTGGGCTGCCGTGGTTCTTAGCATTGTGCGGGCACTTCCAGGGATCAGCACAGAGTGGGCAGTGACTGCAGCGACCACTGTAGCTTGACCTCTGCAAACCTGTCCTGGAGGCACCTGAGGGATAATATGAGATCAAAGCAAGGAGAGCCACGCTAGCCGATCAGGACCTGGGAAAGGTGCCACAGCTGTGTGCTGTCTGCTCAGAAGCTGGAAATGTTAACACACTGAGAGCACTTTTTCTTTTCAAAATCCAAAAGGAAAGGATAGAAAATTCTCTACCCACTTTGATTCTGTTTTCTGATTACTTTGATGATAGGCTGGGAAGCATCTCCACCTACTGGCTGATTTTAGTATTCTCTCCTCTCTCTCTCTCTCTCTCTCTCTCTCTCTCTCTCTCTCTCTCTCTCTCTTTTCTTCTTTTAATGTATACACACACCGGCTCTTCTCCTTCCTCCCCCTACCATATCGCCTTTCTCTTTCATTTCTTCTTCTTTTTGAAAAAAGATTTATATATTTTTATTCTGTGTCTGACTGTTTCACCTGCATGTATGTCTGTCTGCTGCCCTTGGAGGCCAGAAGAGGCTGTTGGGTCCCCTGCAACTAGAGTTACAGAGGGTTGCGAGCTGCCACGTGGGTGCTGGGAATCAAACCCGGGTCCTCTGCAAGAGAAGCCGGTGCTCTTGGGTGTGGAACCATCTCTCCAGCCCCAAGAGCAGCGCTTCTTAGCCACGCCTGCCCTGCTGAACGAGGAGCTGAGCTTGCTTCTCTCTGCCGGCTTCTAGCCTCGTTTCGTCCACTCATTCACCGTGTGACGGGTGTAGCTCTCCTGTTACTGTCCCAGTCTCCCGTCCGTAAATCAGACTTCAGGACTTGATCTCTCCACAGCTCTCCTTACAAGCTCTGGCTTGATGTCCTTTTAAATTTTTAAAATAATTTATTTATTTTTATTTTATGTGCATTGGTGTTTTGCCTGCATGTATGTCTCTATGTGTGAGGGTGTCAGATCTTGGAGTTACAGACAGTTGTGAGCTGCCATGTGGCTTCTGAGAATTGAATCTTGGTCCTCTGGAAGAGCAATCAATACTCAACTGCTGAACCATCTCTCCAGTCCTCCTTTTAAATCTTAAAATAATAAAAATACAAATAAAAGTTCTTAAGTTGTATTTACTGAGTGTCTGGGGGCATGGTGGCTCTTTTCCTTCCACCATGCTCGTCCCAGGGACAGAGCTCAGGGCACGACACTAGGTGGCAAGCACCTTTATCCAAACTTTATCCATCTTGCCAAACAAACCCCCAGGGTCTGATAATCCCTGGCTGACTTCCAAAGCAAAAACCTTTATTCTTCCCATTTTGCAGATGAGAAAACTGAGACTTAGGGACGGGAAGTCATTTATGCTATTCCACCTTAGAGAGTTGGGAGTCAGTCTTGTATATATGTCTGACACCTAGCGAGAACCCACAACCCTGAATAATCTTCCTTCATCCTCTTAACCTATCTTCACCCAGAAGTCTTCAATGTCACTGCCCCAAACCCTTAAAAGTTTTGTGGTTATGCCCAGACTCTACCCCAAGACTCTGGCTGACAGGTTATCCAGGAGGAAGACCCAGGGCTTAGCAGAGAACTTGTACTATTACCCAAGGGACTAGAGTGTCTGTCTGGGTGGGGAAGCCCTGCCTACAGATGGTAGACCCAGGTCTTCTAAACCCTTGAACACAAATGAAAGCCTTAGCAATTTCAAAACATAGGGCTGGGGCATAGCTCAGAGGTAGAATCCTTGCCTAGCGTGCAGGAAGCCCTGGATTCAATCCCCTGCACCACAACCAAATGTGGTTGTACATGTCTGAATCCCAACATTGGGCTGGTGGAGGCAGGAGGATCAGGGGTTTAAGGTCATCCTTGGCTGCATCCTTGGCTCAAGGACATCTGAGAGAGCCTATCTCCAAACGAAACTACCTATCAGGTTAATTTGTTACATAGCACCTGGTGACAGCTACCTTGGAGAAACAGAAATCAGCTGCTCAGATCGACAATCGGCTTGCCATCCTAGTACAGGAGTGCCGTTTTCAGAGATAAGAATCCAGGAGCAGGATGCAGCTTGAGAGTCTGTGAGCACTGGTTATGCTTGCAGGTCACAAAACAAAGGATGCACAG